AAATTGCTGTAAGTTTATTGTTCAGGTAGTGTGCCTTTTTTCTTTTCCTCCAGCTGCTTTTTTATAATTTTCTTAGTTTTTGATTTTCAGTGGCTTTATTATATGCTCAGTTTTAGTTTTCTTTGATTTTATCTTGTTTGCAGTATTGAAAGCTTCTTGAATATGTGGCTTGGTGTCTTTCATCATTGCAGAAAAAATTTCAGCAGCCTGCCTTCAAATATCGCTTCTGCATCATGTTTTTTATCCTCTTCTTCTGTAACTCAAGGGATATGTGTGTGAAATATTTTCACTATATCTCTCATATCTTCTATGCCCCTTTCTGTTTTTTGAGGATAATTTTTGGTCTCTTTATTACATGCTGGATATTTGTTCTGACCAATCTTCTAAATCAGCACTTTTCTCTTCTTAGTTCAATCTACTATTAAAATCATGAATGTAATCTATACTTCAATTGTGAAATTTTTTAGCTTTAGAATTCTAGCTTTCCTTTCGAAAATAGTTTCATTTTTCTGGTGAAGTTCTTTATTTTAGTATGTGTTTATTTCAATGTAGTAATCACAGTTTATTTGTGCTCTATCAGATCACTGTAGTAAGTGGATAATATGTGTGCCTTTTTTATTGTGATTTTTTTTCTCATGATCCTCTTGCTTGGTAAGTCTGATAATTTTATTTTATTTTTTTAAGATTTTATTTATTTATTTGAGAGAGAGAATGAGAGACAGAGAGCATGAGAGGGAAGAGGGTCAGAGGGAGAAGCAGACTCCCTGCTGAGCAGGGAGCCCGATGTGGGACTCGATCCCGGGACTCCAGGATCATGACCTGAGCCGAAGGCAGTCGCTTAACCAACTGAGCCACCCAGGCGCCCCAAGTCTGATAATTTTATAGTGAATTTTGGATATTGTGCTTGAGAAGTTATAATTGTTGTAAATGTCATTATTTTCCTTAAAATATGGATAATGGGGCACCTGTGTGGCTCAGTCGGTTAAGCGGCTGCCTTTGGCTCAAATCATGGTCCCAGGGTCCTGGGATAGAGTCCTGCATTGGGGTCCCTGCTCCGCGGAGAGCCTGTTTCTTCTTCTCCCTCTGCCTGCCGCTCTGCCTATCTGTGCTCTCTCTATGCCTCTGTCAAATAAATAAATAAAATCTTAAAAAATAAATAAATAAAAGATGGATAACATAAATATCTCATAGATATGGATTTAGGGCATTTATGGAAAAGTTTTAATTGAAATAAATATTTTATTTCTTTTACTTTTTTATCTCCTATAATGATGTCTGTCATTACAAATTTTCTGAACATTTTTTTCTTTCCCACTCATTTCCCAGTTCTATTTTGTAGTATGTGAAATAAAGTTAGTAGAATAAAAATTTTGTACTTTATTTGAAACTTTGTTTCTTCCTCCTCACCACTAAATCATAAGAACCAAGCTTATTGAAGTTTATTACTGTTTAATTACCCTGCTTTCTTCTTTTTCATCCTCGACACTGGTTAGTGCTCTAAGAATCGTGCACCTCAGCAAGTTTCTACTGACTTGACCTAGGATTTTAAAACTGAATATAACCTAAAAGATCATAATTTATCTCAATTAAATGATGAATAAACTGTGGCTGAGACATAAAAAACTTGCTTGAGGCTACGTGGATATTATTATGAATACAGGTAATAGAACCAAAAGTTTTAAATTTTAGCTCTGTTGTCCCTTTCCACTTTTAAATGAGCCTATTTGGCAATAATAAAGGCAATAGGATTGTGAGTAAAAACTATACTTAATGTACTTTACTTTTTCACTTATAGGTACTTTGAAATTACTCTCAGATTTTTCTCCCCAGAGTGGATATAAAATATAAATATTTTAGCACAGTATTTTATAGGGAAGTTGAACCATTAAAAAATAATGTAAAGATATATATACCATATGCACTAATGTGCTTTCATAGGATAATGTTTCATAATTAATTTTTTGGTCAAATTTGACACAGCTGCATAAATTATTTATAAATCTCTAAAAGATTACCTTCACCTGTTGTTTCTGAGCAGTGTGGTAGACCTATGTAAATTTTTACAGATAGGAGAGAAATATAGCTTATTAAAATTTCATTCTGGAGTTTTGTAGGTAATGAAGGGCATCTAGAGTCCCATGCAAAGTTAAATTTTCTAGTGTAACATCTTCTTGGAATGCTTCCCATTATATTAAGTAGAGATTCCTCAAAACTCTACCTGATTTTCTTAACCTAAATTCATGGTCAAGGAAGGAGTTTAATTTCTATAACAAGGTTTAAATATAATTAAAAATTTAAAGAAACTAGCAAGTGAAAAGATCAGTTAATAAGGTAATTTATAATATTTAATTGAAAGAATGGTTTGGAAAAAGATTTAAAGAATTTTCTCCACCTATGGAGTTGTCTGTGGAATTAAGACCAGAAAGCCTATAATTGTTGAGAACTTAACGTCCTCCTAAACAGTTGAGCATTGAAAGACTAATGCAGATGATCATTCAAAAACTTAATATTATCTAACAGATGTGGGAAGATGGGTCAAATGTCAAGAGTCTTGTTTTCTCTTGAAATATCTATATATTGGGGCACCTGGGTGGCTCAGTTGGTTAAGCGTCTGCCTTTGGCTCAGGTCATCATTCCAGGGGCCTGGGATGGAGCCCTGTATCGGGCTCCCTGTTTGGCAGGGAGTCTGCTTCTCCCTCTCCCCTGCTTGTGCTCTCTCTCTCAAATAAATAAATAAAATCTTAAAAAAATAAACATCTATGTATTTACCTAAAAAAATTACAAACTGAAAGAAGTATATGAAAGTGTTGATGCCATTTTTCCCATTGTGTATATTTTCAAAATGTTGAAATATAATATTCTATCAATCACCATGCATACATAGTTAACATCACACTGTCGGTTTGGCTGTTAAATACTTGACATTCACTTTTTTCAAAAGTAAATTTATTTATAGCATGGTTTTGGAGTTTCACATCAGTCATGGTTCCACAATAGAAGGTAAATCAACCTTAACTGATGACATTTTCAGCACATTTATTATCATTTTTGTTTTTTTAGCTGTGTGTATTAAAATGTTTTCAAATTATCATTATCGGTAAAAGATAAATAATCTGGAAAATTGATTAATGTTCAGATTCTTTCGTGTTTGGGTGATCTGAATGCTGAGGGGAAAGTGATGTTAGTAGAGAGTAAGAATCTTTGAAAAACTAAAGGGAATGATAAATGTACTGCTAAATATTATATAAGAAATGAATCCAGTAACATTATTCTAATTCTTTACTACTTTGAATACTGGGAAGTGAAAGTATTTCAATTGATTTTGTATTTTCAAGTAATTTCTTATCTTCTCACTATTCTTTATATTACCATTTTTCCACATTTCTTTTATACATTGACACAAAAATAATACAAGTCTCACATGAAACTTAAACCAAAAGTAAGGAATATATTTGCGGGGGTGCCTGGGTGGCTCAGTCGGTTGAGCATCTGTCTTTGGCTCAGGTCATGATCCTGGCATCCTGGGATCAAGCCCCGCATCAGGCTCCGTGCTCAGCAGGGAGCTTGCTTCTCCCTCTCCCTCTGCCTGGCTCTCTGCCTATTTGTGATCTCTCTCTCTCTGTCAAATAAATAAATAAAATCTTTTTTAAAAAGGAATATATTTGGGGTTTATGCTTTACATGTAAAAGTGTCAAGTAATAGAATTATTGATTTCCTGGACCCAATGTCTTCATAGGTAAGGAGGCTTTTTAATATTTAAGGAATTCTAGGTAGTATAGACACAAGCAGAAGGTTAAATTTCTTTTCAGTGGAAAAAATTGGTGACATTTTCTTTTGGGACATTTTCTTCTGGCCATATTTATAAGTCTAAGTGGTACCATGCAGTAAATCAAAAGGATGATTAAAAAGAGATGAAATTAACATAGTCCAGTTAATAATGTGGTTTATTTTCAATATTTTAATTTTTACTGGAACCCAAACACTTTATGGAGTAGTATATCTACAGGAAAATATTAGTATTTTGATTTGCTGCATAAAAGCAAAGATATGTACTTTCACAGTTTATATGAACTGTGATTTATCAGTTGAAGAAATGCTGCCTAGATGCATCTGATTTGAAAAATGGTGTCAAGATACTGACCAAAAGTGTTTTTACTATGATTTTGACCTCTAGAAATTTTAAATCTCCACATATGAGTTTTTAGTCAACATTAAAAGTAGTTGATATAGGGAGAAATTAAAGAAATGGATTTTTAGCAATTTAAACATCAGACTTCCAAACTGTAACTCACACAAGAATGCTATTCAAGTAGTTTGTTACTTTAAAGATAACATCAACAAAAAGCCAATATTAAATGCTGCAAATAGAAATATAAATTTGTTTCATGAATAACATAGAAGTAGTGTACAAACATCCCATGAAAATAATAGAAAACACTCAAGAAATTTAACAAGATATATTTAAATATGAAAATAAGTAGAAAACTAAAACCTTTAATTTTAGTTAGGAATTATATAAAGTCACTCCCTAAATAGAATAGACCAATACAAATTACTCTAGTAAAGACTGGTGTGGCACGACTAAAGTAGCATTGATTTTGCAGTATTTTAATGAAAATTGATATTCTTTATTATAATCTTAACGATGTATTTAAATTAGAGATAAGGAAAATAAAGAATACCTAAAAGTCATTGAAATTGGGAAATATAAGGCAAATAAAACACAACAAAGTAAAAACTCACCCTTTCATCCACATGATGGCGCTGGAAACCGCAAGTTTGGTGATTGGCTTTTTTTTTTTTCCCCCTTTCCCAATAAAGGAAATCAGTGAATTAGTTTATTTTCCTTAGACAGAAAGGAAAAGGCTACTCCTTTTTTTAGTCTGCTGCTGAGGCTGAAAAGGTGAGCAAATAAAAAATTATAGGAAATTGGGAATTAGGTTTCCAAAAGCTATCGTGTGGTAGTGCAATAGACATTTGAAAATTGCAACGAATTTGCGATGGTATATTCCCAGAGAAGAAGTCCAGGTTCCCCGCGCCTGCTGCTCTGGCTTCTGCTCCTCGCAGTCTGGGAAGCCGGGAGCGGCCAGGTCCACTACTCGGTCCCGGAGGAGGTCAAACACGGCACCTTCGTGGGCCGCATCGCCCAAGACCTGGGGCTGGAGCAGGCGGAGCTGGTGCCGCGCCTTTTCCGAGTGGCGTCCAAAGGTCATAGAGACCTTCTGGAGGTAAATCTGCAGAATGGCATTTTGTTTGTGAATTCTCGGATCGACCGGGAGGAGCTGTGCGGGCGGAGTCTGGAGTGTAGCATCCACCTGGAGGTGATCGTGGACAGGCCGCTGCAGGTTTTCCATGTAGAGGTGGAGGTGAAGGACATTAACGACAACCCGCCAAGGTTTTTCCGACAGGAACAAAGATTATTTATTTTAGAGTCAAGAATAGTGGATTCCCGGTTTCCGCTAGAGGGCGCATCTGATATGGATGTCGGAGCAAACGCAGAATTGAGATACAAATTAAATCCTAATGAATATTTTGATTTGGATGTTAAAGCAAATGAAGAAGAAACAAACATTTTAGAGCTGGTCTTAAAGAAAGCAGTAGATCGAGAAGAAATCCAGGAACATCTTTTATTACTGACTGCAATTGATGGAGGAAAACCTGAACTAACAGGTACAGTTCAATTATTGATCAACGTATTGGATGCGAATGATAATGCCCCCAAATTTGATAAATCAGTTTATAATATCAGATTATTAGAAAATGCACCAAATGGGACATTAGTTATTAAACTGAACGCCTCAGATGCAGATGACGGCATTAATAAGGAAATAGTATACCTCTTTAGTGATCTTGTTCTTGACAACGTCAAATCTAAATTTATAATTGATTCGAATAATGGGGAAATAACAGTTAAGGGAGAACTGGATTACGAAGACTGTAATTTATATGAAATTAATATTGATGCCGTAGATAGAAGTCCATTCCCATTAACTGGACACTGCAAAGTAATAGTAAAACTCCTAGATGAGAATGATAATACCCCAGAGATGGTCATAACCTCCATATCTCTGCCGGTCCAAGAGGACGCTCCAGTGGGGACTGTCATCGCCCTGATCAGTCTGTCCGACCGCGACTCCGGTCTCAATGGGCAGGTGACCTGCTCACTAACACCCCATGTCCCCTTCAAGCTGGT